ACACATTCATGCCCACCTCACACTACGCTAACTAGGTAACAATTAGATGAAAGACCCGATTGGACGGGTCCTCAACAACATGTTAAATAACTTAACATTGCACTCTCTCCTCAACTCTGATGAGCGCATTGATGCTTCCTGTTGTGCAGCACCTGGGCCTTTTGTTATCAGACAACATACTAACTGTTAACACAGGCTTATTAGCGTTGACAGTGAGTGGAGAACTGGTGCTAGCATTAGCATTACAGACAAGACACTACAAGTACACAGTACTACAAGAGTGGGAACTTTTCCACTGACGTGAGAGGAAGCTTCTGTAAATCTGTTCAAATTAACATGTCTGGGAGAAAAACATGAAAATTTAAACACTAAATGCAGGTTTAAAGAAACTCGATGTAAAAGTGCAAAAATGTATTTAATTCTGTGAGAAGGAAAAGTATAATCAGTATTACCAAACTGTATTGTTTGTAAAGCATAAACCTTACAAAACGTATAATGCAACAAACGATTTCGATTTCACATAAATGCTGTTTTTAAAAAATTTTTTTAAACTTTCTATTCATCAAAGAAACCTGAAAAAAAAGTATGGTTTCTACAAAAATACGAAGCAGCAATTTTCAACATTGATAACAATAAGAAATGCTTCTTGAGTACCAAATCAGCATATTAGAATGATTTCTGAAGGATCATGTGACACTGAAGACTGGAATAATGATGCTGACAATTCAGCTTTGCCACAGGAATGAATAAGTTTTTAAAATATATTCGAATAGAAAATCATTATTTTCAATTGTAATAATATTTCACAGTATTACTGTTTTTACTACATTTTTTGATCAAATAAATGCAGCCTTGGTGAATAGCTATAAGAGACTTCTTTCAAAAGCATAAAAAAAAAAAGGCAAATGAATGTCAAAATACGACAGAAATACTTAATTTGTTTTTGGCAAATAATGATAATAATGTAGTTATATGACCAAACTACATTTACATGAATGCATAACAGTTTCCATTAAACAGATACCAGACGGCTTAAAGTGACATACACTCATTTAGGTGGCTCTGATGTGGTGAACAGAGCTGTGAAAGGTGTGTATTTTAGTGTTAATGGCCCATAGCTTGCAAGGACCTGTCAAACGTTGATGAATCAGAACCATCAGTTTCATATTTCAGTAAAGACCTCCTGTCATCATTCCTCTTATCATATATTCATACCAGCTCATAATCACACAGGGCCCACCGCCAGCATACCTGCACAGACTAACGTATGAGCGTGGATGAAGAACGCTATCAGATACAAAACAAGCCTTAGAACAGGGGTCTTCAACTAAAATTGCTCGAGGTCCAGTAATGAACCCTCCTCACCAGCCGGGGTCCGGACAATTATATACCTAAAAACATCAATTGATGGTTTTTGTCAGACCAGGGTATCTGTATATTTAAGCTCAAATGTAATACATTTTTTAAGACCTGCACAAATAAAATTAAAATGACTGTAAAATCATGATTTAGACTTCAGAAACATGTTTTCACAAAAACAAAAAGTTTTATAAAATGATAAGCTTCACATTCATCTGCCTGCGCACCGCTCTCTGCTCTCTTCACTGCACGCACGACAGCACATCTGAACGTAGCAACCGTGGTGCCGTAGGACCCAAACGGATCTACTGAGCTGAACTTGATATAAATTAGATTTTATTAGAAATTAGCGTTTGGCTTTTATTTATTTTATTATGTCAAAAGGCTTTGCGGTCTGGATGAATGCATCTTGTGGCGACCCCTGCCTTAGAAGGTTAATTCTGTCTTAATTTCCTCACTCTCATGTCCTTCAAAGTATTTCCTTTTACACTCTTCAGAAGAAAGCGGTTTGAGACGGTTTGCTATTTTAGCATTTTATGCTATTATATTTATTTATTAATATTTTGAAGTAGCTTTTTAAAAATATTTTCAATTTTCAATATTAGTTTTAGTATTTTTTTTTTAATTTAGTGATTTGCCAAGACAAAAATTTCATGTAAGTTTGTTTATTTTTCATTAAGTTTTTCATCTAATATATCTAATATATTTTATTCCAACTTTATTTCAATTACTGAAAATGAGTTTTAATAGTTTAGTTTTACTTTTAATTAACAATAACAACACAAGTTTGTAAACTCATGAGGGTGAGTAAATGACAGAATTTTCATTTTTAGGCAAACTATTCCTTTAAATTAGTTTTCTCTTTTAACAATACACAAACAAACTTTCAAGCAGCTTTAGGCGAGAGACCAAATATACATTATAAGATGCAGATGAATCCATGTTCAAAAACAAGGTTAGACTTTGATCTTCTGAACCTGATGAGACGAAACCCTCCAAACACTACAGCACAATGGCATTAAACACGAACATTGTAAGATCAAACATTAGGAAGACTTCAGAGAGAAAAGCACTTACGCAATGTGTTAATTACTCTCGTGGAGTGACATGAACATTTCATGCGCACAGCACACATATACACACAAACACATGCACATGCTATAGGGATAATTCTCTCTGAGTACAGTACACTCAGAGTGGCTTTAGCATTCTGTGAGGTGTTGGGGGCAGGGTCAATGGGTGCTTTGAGATGTCAGTAAGCATCCCCCAATGACACACACTGCCCCCAACCACTATTGAGGGACCAAGACAAGTCAGAACATGCTGAAGACACCAAAAGCACAACCACACACACTCCAACATCTTACTGTGATGCTCAAGCACTTTAAAACATTCTATACAACAAGTGGTTTATAAAGTTCCCAAATCTAAATTAATGTATTTTTTTTTTTAAAT